ACTGAAGAAGCTCAGCATCCTACATGGGATCCTATACCCTGGGCATCCCACCTGACTAGAAGGACAACTTTCTGGGGTACCTCTTGACCATCCACCACTCTGTCACTCGGGAGCACCTGCCACGCCCCAAGAGTCGGATGTCCTCACCTCCTTTATTTTACGCTCTCCTTGGTACATTTCCATTTCTCTTCAGTGGCACTTACCACTGAGGTCTCATCTTGTGCAGGGCAGGAGTTGGCTACACAGTCTGAAGCCCTCAGGGAGAATGGTCTTGGCCTATTTATCTCAGGGCCCAAAACATGTTTGCTGTTTAGCTACAATCAGAAGGAGCACAGCAAGGAGATGTGGCAACTGTTTTCAGGATCAAGCATGCCAATGTGGGAAAAAAAAATCATAAATCCCAGGTAGCAGTTTGGTAAGTCAAGGTAAATGTATACTCCACGGTGCCCTGGCATTGGACATTACAAAGGCAGGCAGGCCAGCACGCTCACAAAAATTTCAGGGCAAAAACCCCAAACCAAACGAACCCAGACAAACACCCCACAATCTCACCAATTTATGTTTATCTTCAATAACAAAGTATCAAGATAATAGAAATACACAAAATTATAAGGGAGGAAAACCCCTCTGATATTTCTATATTCTCTACTCAAAAAAAAAAAAAAGAAGAAGAAGCTGTATTTAGCCAGTGAATCGGGGGAGACTTGAATATGTTACCCACTGCAGCGGTTCACCCTCCAGCTGAACCACACCTAGACATGGCCCATCACGTGTTACCCCTCTCTTCTCCAATTATTTGGTATGCTTGAAACCAAGTAAATGAATTTTGAAATTATCTGGTCAAATAAAATTAGAGAGAAAAAATATCTAGCCTAAACAAAATCTACAGGATGCCTCTAAGCATAGATAATATTCCATTAGCACACAATAGCTAACCACAGTCATTCTGAAATGGCTCACTTTCTTAGAGAAAACAATAAACCTCTGATTTTATAAAGCTAAGTGAACTCCTGGGCCTGCAGACACTGACGGAATATCCTTACTTGGTTTCAATAAGAGAGAGTCAGTAAGATCAGCCCTACTAAATTTAGCCTCTGAGCTGATTTCATCACTAACCCGGCTTCTCTGCTGACACAAGAGAGAAGGCCCAGGGGACACAGCGCTAGGCTGGAACCAACCTATTTAACAAGCACAGATCTGTAGCCAAAAATGGTCACAAAGAACCTGCTACCTTGCACAGGAATGACTACCAATCAGGGTAAGGCCCAGAGGGCTCATCCTCCACGTTCCAAGCGTGCCTGATGACCACACCTGCGAGAAGCCCAGTGTGGGTTACAAATCATATTCCCTTCTACTGGCTCATACACTGATATTTGTAAATGCAACTACAATTTCAACAGCCAAATTCAGAAGCTTTCCCAGAATAAGAAAAACAAAAAAGAAAAAAAAAATTCCAGAAACCTGATCCAACACAAAGCTTGAACCAATCTGGAGAAACACATATTGAACTTGAATCAAACCCTAATCATTTCTCTACCTTTACAAAAAGTCAATCAAGAGAAATATTTTAAAATTTCAAAACTGCTTTCATCTAGATGGCATTTTATTTCAATCCCCGGATGCTCAGGCAAACAAGCAAGCCTTCCACCGGCCACGGGGCCAGTACGGGCTGAGTGATGACACTGGCAGTGGTCCCCGGCACTGTGGAAGGCCTGCTGGTCTCTGCTGCCAGGGCTTCCTGTCCTGTGACGGGGTGGGAAGCAGAGGGGGAGGATGCACAGACGTCAGAAAAGGGCCAGCTGGGAAGGCTAGCTTTGCAGTTACACCCAGCCTAGGAGAGAAGATCCAGACACAGCCATGAAGGGTGTGTGGCGGGGAGGGGGGCGTAAGTTTAAGTTTTAGAGGAAGCATGGGGCGGCAGGGCAGGGTGAAGGGTGAGGAAGAGAGGCAACCCTCTGCCTTGTCCCCCCTCCCCCTGCACACTGCCCACTTCTTTTCTGTCATCTCAAGTCGAGGAGGATGCTTTTAGGAACTTTTAGCACCATACTGACCTTTCCCATCTTCAGTACCTTTGAAAACATCTACTAAACTGGTCTGAACTAGAATTCAAGCAAAATTCCCCCCCCCTTTAAAGCCCTATACATTCTATCAAGACTGAATGAAAACAGAAAGTTATTCCGGAGCTGAACTAGTGTGATGTGCTCGTGGCCCAACCTCCCATCCCACAAGGGGAAATCAACATGACGAGATTTCAAAGCAGATTTAGACAGCCAGCAGTAGAAAATGGAACAGCCCTCTGCTTTCTTTGAAACAGATTGCTTTTTGCAAGAAATAAATGCAATCCGAATATGCATACGGATCCGTGACCCAGATTTAATGTTCAAAGAAAGTGGTCATAAAGTTACATCCTTGGGAAACAATAACAAGAAATAGGAGCGAATAATTTTCATTATTTTGAATGCATTACAAGGTATTTCCATGTGATTTACTTATTTCTTTTCTTATTACGGTGCTGGGCATTGAACCCAGAGCCTCGCACACATGAGAAAAGTGCCCTACCACTGAGCTATGACCACCCCAGCCCAGTACTCTTACTTCACAGAACATTTAAAGATGTCTATGGGGAAGAAAGAGACGTCAGGAAAAGGCAGAACGTTCAGAAGCAAATACATCGTAGTTTTATTTCAGCTTTTTGGAAACTGAAGAAAAGTTGATGTTCATTTTTTTTCTACTTTGCCTTGTATTTTTTTAAAAAAATAATTAAAACTTTATTGTAAAGAGCTTCCAAATTGTCTACGGCCATACCACCCTGAATGCGCCTGATCTCGTCTGATCTCGGAAGCTAAGCAGGGTCAAGCCTGGTTAGTACTTGGATGGGAAGAGCTTCCATATTAGACACACACACACACACACACACACACCCCAAATGTAGCCAGTCTCAGTCTATACATCTGAGTGAACTTCTGCACAGTTAGAATTCCATCCATTCTTATTGATGTTTATTTTAGCGTGGGCTTTGAGAGAGATCTATTAGCTGGAAATGGGCAGAGGGGAGGAGGGCAGAGTGGGAACCACCAGGTGTGGAGTTTAAGTCTTCCAGGGGTGGGGGTGGGGGGACGACAGCGTGGAAAATAGTCTGCAGAAACCCATGCAGGTGACCTTCGAGTGTCTTCCCAGGGCACAGTACGAAAATCAAATACCACATAATAAGCTACAAGGAACCAAAATAAATACCCGAGATACAGTATACTCCATAAATCTGAGCATTCCTGAGCATGATGAGGGCAAATCACTTAGGTCATTAGTCTTGGATTTGTTCTCATCTGAGAGGCACTGGCCTACCTGCTTTCAGAGTCTTCTAGAACGAGAGCAGAGAAATGAATTCATAAATAAATAAATAGAAAGACCACTTCTTCCTGCCAAATGCCAGGAAGACAAAATTTTGCTGAAGACAAAATTAAACTAAGAAGATGGAATTGGTGCCGGACAGGTTTGGGAGGCCTGCACTTGACTGTTAGTGGTTTGAGGTTTCTCACACACCTCACACACACAAGCACTGCAAGCTGTGGAGAGACCACCGCCTGTCTTTCCACAACAGGAACTCACACTTGTTCCCCAGTCAGAGGTGTGTCTCAAAGCAAAAAGGAAACATTAATCTATTACTGGGGACTTTGCAAATTCTGATAGTACTTCATGAAATCATTTTTTTTTTTTTTGCGTATGACTACTGGAAAGAATTCACAGTCTGATACCAACAAGCAGGCAAAAACAGAACTCTCTGCATCTAAACACCTTTACAGAAACAAATTCATAATACTATATTCCCTAACACCATGTCCATGTTAGGGCCACAGGCAGAGAAGATGTCTCTTTTTCTATTAGCTTACAAGAGTATTTAACTTGCCAATGACAATACTTTCTTTTGATTTGCACTCAAAGCTAAAGGCACATTACTTTAACATACTCAGACTTTTTTTAAAAATTGCTTCTTCCTTCCAAACAGGTTTAATCCAATATGCATTCCCGGAGAACTACTCAGTATCAGGTACAGTAGGGTGCGGGCATTAGACAAAGAGTAACTGCAGGCCCATTCTTAAGACTCCCCTGGTGTCTCCAGGGACTGGGGAGTCCATAGACACAGCTTGACAGGTGTGATCCCGGACGGGGGCGGGGTTGGCGGGAAACTACTGAGCCAGGACTGCTTCCCAGAGTTGACAGGAGGCGAGGCAGAGGAAACTGTGAACAGGATGTTACTACACACACAAAGAGGAGGAGAACTCCAGGCTGCCAAAGGGAAGGAGGCTGTGGAGCATTCAGAGTGTTCCGCGGTGCTGAGGGCTGAGGCTCCGGGGAGAGAGACGTGTGTGACCGAATTGAGAAGGGCGATTAGAAGCTCTAAAGATCCACTCTGGGTTTTGTTGCTGTTTGTTTGTTTGTTCCTACAGGCAAGCATTCTAAGCTCTACCCCCAGCTGCTTTTTGTTTTGGAACAAGGTCCCACTAGGTCACCCAGACTGGCCTTGAACTGCTTGTAGGGTCCCGAGCAGCTGGGATTCAGGCCCTGCATCACCAGCCCAAGCTCCACTGTGTTTGAAGCCACATGCTTGGTGACAACAGGGCCATGGAAAGGAGGCTAGGAGCCAGCAGTCCAGAGGGGTGTGGCCGGCAGCAAGCCAGAAGCAGCTCATACACATCTGGACAGCTGTGTGCTCTTAGATGGTCTCAGACATCCTCCCCCCACAATGTTCTTCTTCAGGTATAGCCAAGTTTTCCAAGTAAAAGCTATATTTATATGTATGGTTTTGTCTCACCCCAAATATGTCACGTGTGGCTCCTAAAAGCCACATTCGATTGCCAGTGAGCACATCGGGTACATACTAAAGACAGCCTCTTACCTGAATAGATTGCCAGTGAACATATCGGGTACATACTAAAGACAGCCTCTTACCTGAACAGATTGCCAGTGAACAGATCGGGTACATACTAAAGACAGCCTCTTACCTGAACAGAGCTGCTCCACCTTTGTGTAGTTTAGAGAGACGATGTCGTTAACCCACGCAATGATGTCATGCCTGCTCATAGTCTCCTGGGTTATCGAGGTAGAATACACGTTGACCGCCATTCCCCAACTAGGACAAAACAAATGAAAATAAGTTTATTTACTCACAAGAGAAAAAAATACCTTAGAAATATAAAAGACATGCAATCATGAAGGACATTACTGGTGGAGCTTTACAACAAAGCTTCTTCCTGTGGGTCCTGACACCCCCCCCCCCCCCACACACACACACATACCCCATGGTAGAAGGGAGAAGGGCACAGGGAGGTGGTGAAAATCTGGCAACAGTAAACAATTTCGGAACACGCAACAACCAACACTTAGTTCATAATCGGATGTGTACTGGACCCACAGCCCTCCCGGCAGCACTTGGCCGTGCTGCTTCAGGAGTCGTCTTTATGGCCTTCATGCTGAACGCGTACCACACGTACTCCCGATTGCCCGCCATGACACCTCGAAAGGCCAGCAAGCGCTGCCTGAGACACCCTGGCTCGGATCTCAGACTACTGTGTTTTGTTAAGTGACGTCATTTTGGATGTACGTACAAAGCTTGCTGCTCTTACAGAAACACTCTGGCTTCATTACAGAAAACAAGGCTTTTAATATTTTCCCGCTGTCAGTCCTTAGCACGTAAGTATCAGGACAATGCATTTCTGGATTGTATTGTGCTAAGTAAGACCAACAAGCACATCTATCTATCTCCAGTATGCAAATTTGCTTTCATCTTTTTTTTTCTGTCTTTTCTATTTCTTGAGACTGGGTCTCACTATCTAGTTCTGGCTGGCCTGGAACTCGATTTGTAGACCAGGCTGGCCTTGAACCTGCAGTGCACTTAGGCCTCTGTTTCCCACTGCTAAGATCACAGGTGTGAGCTATTTTGCCCAGCTTTGTGGTGAAAATCACATGCTTATCAATGGACTATTTTAAATTTTTTTATGATTTACTGTCATAAATGTCTGAGTCACGTACCTATTTTACTTACCTACCTAGCTGAGCTCAGGTAAAAATTTCTCAAGTGAAAGGGGGTTTGGAGTTGGAAGTTTCATCAGCCTTGCTCTAGAGGGAACAGCAGGCCCGGCTCAGCCAAACCCACCCGCTGTCCTTTCTCCCTGCAATTCCTTGTTAACTGCTTATCTGGATCACATTTCATGTAATTGTTTCCTGTGGCCACGTCACATTTCTCCCATCTAGACTCTAAAGTTCTTCAGGCTCTGAGATTCTTCATTTCTAACAGAATTTAGGGCCTCACTTTTGACTTTAAGTCTTTATGGGACATTAGGTTACTGGGCTTACAACACTGTGCACCACAACAATCTTTTTTCTTTTTTTTTAAAAAAAGATTTATGTTGCAGGGTGGTGGTGGCGCATGCCTTTGATCCCAGTACTCAGGAGGCAGAAGCAGACAGATCTCTGTGAGTTCAATGGACAGCCTGGTTCACAGAGTGAGTTCTAGGACATCAAGGGCTACACAAAGAGAAACTGTCTCAAAACAAAACAAAAAATTTATTTGTGTGTGTGTGTGTGCATATGTAAGTGTAATACCCATAGAGGCTGCTGGGTTCCCTGAAGCAGGAGTTGGAGGTGGTTGTGGATTAACAAAGCAATTGAACACTTTAAGTGCTGCCTAATGGGCCACCCTAGGTGGAGCGTGGAAGACAGTGGTGCTGGTGTGATTTGAACCATGGGGGCCTGGATCATGGAGGCTTCAGAGGAGAAGAATGTTAGTACGTGGCCTAGAGACCGGTCTTGTGATATCTGGGTGAAGAATGTGGCTGCTTTTTGTTCTTGTCCAAAGAGTCTGCCTGAGGCTAAAGTGAAGAGTTCTGGATTAATTGTGTTGGCAGAGGTAACCTCAAAACAACCTAGTACAGACTCTGTCACGTGGTTACTAGTGTTCATGCTTATAAAGCTTTATAATGAAAAGGAGCAAGACATGTAAAATTTGTGGAGAAAAGGAGCACCAGGAAGTGGAATGAAGCTAAATCCAATGTTCAAGGAGATGAACAGATTAAGAAATGGAATAAAGGGAGTGGTGACTTCAGGGCAAGATGCCACCTACCTGTTAAATTTCCAACTTAAAGAAAAGAATAAAAAAAAAGACTAGAGCCAGGGGCGGTGGTGCACACCTTTAATCCCAGTACTCCAAAGGCAAGGCAGAGGCTGGCAGATCTCGGAGTGCAAGGCCAGCCTGGCTATAGATCCAGTGTCAGGACAGCCAAGCTCAGACAGTGAAGGAAATCATCGAAAACAGAAAGATGGTGAAAATGTAATTGAATGGAGGAGCCATGTTCCAGTCCCAGTAAGTGTTAGAACGTGGCAGCATTGGCCATGATTCAGGTTTTAAAGTTAAGGACAGGAGAAACAGGTCATGGATTTTGCCTCTATAACTATGGAAGGCCACTGAGACCAGACATATGTCAGGGGTGTCCTTGAATGGGGGCCTAGAGAGGTCATTTTGTGAAGCTATGAAGTTGAAGCCTGGATTGTCTTGGTGACTCCAGATGTTGGAGATGCCAGAGCCATGGGATACCTGCAGAGGAGAGCTGCTAACAGGGAGTGGAACCAGCCCAAGAGAGAGAAGTGTGCTAACAAAGTTGAGTCAACAAAACTGAAAGGACCTGGAGATCTAAAGAGCGTTCGCATCAGGCATGGAGTTTGGAGTTTGCCCAGCTGGTTTTCAGTGTTGCTTCGGCCCAGTGTTTCCTCACTATGCTCCCTCCCCTGTGTTATAGAATGAGAATGTATGTCTTGTGCCATTATATGTCGGAAGTATGTGATTTGCTTTTTGCTTTTGATTTTACAGGCGATTACAGTTAAGAGATCATAATGAATTTCAGAAGAGACTTTGAAGCTAGACTTTTAATTAAGTTTGAGACTGTTAAAGACTATAGAGTCTTCTGAAGTTGGACTGAATGCATCTTTGCATTAAGATATGACTACAAGCCTTTGGGGGCCAGGGAATGGAATGTGGTGGTTTGAGAAATCTGGCCCCCAAGGGGATACTGATAGGAGGTGTGGCCTTGCTGAAGCAGATGCGATCTTGTTGGAGAAGGTGGGTCATTGTGGAGGCTGGCTCTGAGGTTTCATATATGCTCAAGCACAGTCAGTGAGATAGTGTACTTCCTGTCACCATTGGATCAAGATGTTGAATTCTTCTGCACCATGTTTGCCTGCATACTGCCCTACTCAGAACCACCATGCTCCCTGTCATGATGATAATGAACTAAACCTCTGAAACTGTAAGCTGCCACCTCAGTTAAATATTTTCCTTGTAAGAGTAACTGTGCTCATGGTGTCTCTTCACAGCAACAGAAACCCTAACTAAGACAGTCTACTTCTTGGAGTTAGCAACAATCAATTTTTGACCAAGCTTGTTTTCTTTATAGTTCCATCAATTGCCCTTGGCCAATCCCATTTCTGGCTCAGGCCATATTTATTATTTACAATTAATGCCAAGTATTGAGTCATTTCAGTTATAGATATTTCAGAGTTCTGGAAAGATGAAGACATTAGAAAACACTAAGCAACCAACACAACAGTGTTACTACACTGAAATGACCATTGTGTTAAACTGACACAATGGTGTGGTTTGATGTTGCCTTGGTCTTTGCTTTCCTCTATCCTCTGATTTGATCTGCATGCTGTGTCTGCTTCAGGCCCTTATCTGGGGAGTGAGGTGAAAGAGTCCTCTTGCGGCGTCTGAAGTTCCACTAGGAATCAGAGGCTGTCCGGCTCCTTTTGTCAGGCTATTAGACAGAAGATATTTGCCAAGACCCAACAGTTCATTAGTGACTTCTAACGTATTGTCTGCTGGTCATTCTTATTATTTGTGATGATCCCACAAGGAGGAATTCCATCCTGAGAGAGCCTGGGGTCAGGGGTCAGGTCATGGACACAACCCAGAGCAGGTCCTGATCGCTTCTGTACTCTTCACTGAATATTCTCTGGCCAACATGATTTTTATTTATGAACTATAACCATGAAGTACAGAGTTTTAGCAAACTTGCTATGCTTTAGTCTATTGCAATTTAAATCTTGACTGATAAAAGATACATTTGAGTGTGCACGGGCCTGTGTATATGCTTATTTGGGTTGGCCTTTCAGTTCTTTGGATAAAGTCCTTCCTTATTTTCTGTTGTGACAAAATATTCTAGGCTCAACTGGTAACTTTCCTACTTCTGACCTAAAACCAATTGTTTCTCTCGGGGCTTTTGACTCCTTTCTGTAACAGACAGTATTTGGTGATATAGAAATAAATGTTTTAAACATGACTGGATGAAATACCGAAATCTAAAGTGTACAGGCTCTCTGCAAATGTCCTTTATGTTTCTTGTGCCTGGAGTCGTTTATTTGCATTAACTGATGCCACTCTGCTTCCCGCTTCAAGGAATTCAGTGGACTTTACAGTCATGAAAACAGCGTCCACACATCGTCTAAGTTCTCTTTCCCCGAAGACCTGAGAACAACCCGCCAGCACCGGATAAATATGACTTCTCTACACTTCTATTAAAGGTTCTTTTGTTTTCCAGTCAATAGCTTTTGCTGTTTTCTTTAATGACCACTTACTAAGTGAAACCACTTACTTGTACAACGTGATCACCTTTCACCACCTTTAATAAATTATCTAAAACTTTACTAACGATAAATAATTCAAAATTGAAAGCATTTTGGACCGTTTGATGTGATTTTTACATACTGACGTAACTTTTGGCGCTCGATGTACTTTCCTAATGATTTTTTTTCACGTGGTAATAAGAAGCCTTCACATTTCCCAGCAAGGGACAGATGGAAGGTGAAACATCAAGGCCCAGAACTCGGTGGCATCCAACCAGGGTGATGAAAATTTTCCTCCAGGTGATTGAGAATCAAAACTAAACACAAAGCAGGGAAGATCTGTGTCTGACAAATACAGTTACAGTGGTAACTGAGTAAAAATGGTTTGTAGTTACAGAAGACGAAGAACACCAAATATGATGGGTAGATGAGATTGAAAAATACATGGGAACAACGAGGTGGTCCACTGCAGCCCCACCCTGAGTCACCTCCTTCCAGACCCGAGGTGATGATGTT